TTTGGTCTGATTCCTCACAGCTTTCCACCGTTCGGCTTGATTTTTCACAATTTTCCATCGTTTTGACTCTTAACATTTTATTCTATAGGAATGCTTTTAAACTTAATACAACAAGGGTCTTCATATTCTTCACTTTGTAACATCATCAAAATCATTATCTTCAAGACACCAATGCTCCTCATTGGTAACAATCTCCCCCTTTTTTATGATGATAAAAAATTCTTGGTTTAAAAGCATCTTTTGAAAATCTACACACATTTTAAGCTAACAAACATAGAACAAATTAGTAGTAACTGCACTAGAAGTGTTTCTCCCCCTTTTTTATCATAAGCAAAAAGTAAGGGAAAGTTCCCCCTCAAGTGGTGCTCCCCCTTGAAAAAAGAGAATAAATTCACTACAAGACTTAATGAAAATTCAAATTTTGCATAAAAAAATGAAATAAAACAGTACGTGAGGAAAATAAAGCAAACATAGAAGCTCAAATCCTAATACAAATAGAACTCTAAAAAGGAGGGGATGAAGGATAATATGGGGGTTGAAGATTAAAGTGCCCCTCAATATTGCCTAGTCTAGTATCAAGGTCTTGAAACCGTTCAGTGACATAATCATAGTGAGTTTGTTGCATTTCAATAATCTCATCAAACCTTGCTTGATGAGCCAAACTCATGTCTTCCATCTTCTTTGATAGATTGGCAAAAAAATGCTTCCATGGAGAGAGAAGAGGATGAAGGCATGATATATGGTCCAGCTTCAGATGGAGCAACAACTCCTACTAGTTCTGCCATATGGGCATCCATGTCATCATCGTCGTTATCCTGATGGTCGTCATCCTTGTGAACAAGCACTCGTCCACGAGCAACAAATCCCATTTTCTTAAAGGTTGTCTCTCCAATTTCAGTGCCAATTAATTGGATGGCTTGGGTATGTTTACCATCTACACTCACTCCTTTGTATTCAAGAATCCTAGAGATGAGGAGAGCGTATGGAAGATGGTATGAAGAGTATTTTTGAGCTTTTAGCAGAGTATCTTGGATAAGTGTAGGTCAATCAATATGAATGTGATTTAAAATCCCATACAAGAGTAGAAGATCTTGCTCAGAACATTGAGCATGATTAGTAGCACGAGGACACAAGATCCATACAATCAAGTAGTGGATCATTCATTCTTCTACCTTGAATCTTCCAACCAATAGTTACGACGGTCGGTTTGTTGTTGGGGGTTCCTCAGAAACGATTGATATGTGAGAAGACAATTGAAGTCCGGAACTCCCAAATGAACTTTCACAACATCATCCCATATTGTGAGCTTGGCGACATCGGCCATATATAATCATCAAGGATGATTCAGACACCTTTCACCTTTGTTGTCACAACGTCATCACGATACTTGAGATTGTGGTAGAACACTCTAATCAAGTCGGGATATATGCATCCCTTTTGTTCAACCATATGGGTGATACTTTGAGTGCGAAACAACTCAAGGAATTGAAAGCCATAGTATTGGTAGAAATCCAACTTGATAAATTTGACACCTAGTATGCGACGTTCTTGTCAAAAGTGTGCAAATTCTGCTTGTTTCTCTGGATAGCTTGGTACCTAGCACACACACAAACACTCTACATAATGTCTGGTCTACTTGCAGTAAGATATAACAATGATCATATCATACCTCTAAATATTTTTTGATTTACTTCTTCTCCAGATTCATCCTTATCTAAGTAACAAGAAGTTGCCATAGGGGTGTTGGCTTCTTTACACGTATCCATTCCAAATTTTTTAAGTACTTCTCTACAATATTTGGTTTGGGAAACAAAGGTTCCCCCTTCCATTTGTTTTATTTGTAGTCCTAAGAAAAAATTTAATTCACCCATCATAGACATCTCAAACTCACCTTGCATTATATTTGCAAATCACTCACATAATGAATCATTAGTAAATCCAAAAATTATATCATCAACATATACTTGAACAAGCAAAATATGTTTTTCTACTTTTTTTAATAAATAAGGTTGAATCAACCTTTCCTCTAGAAAAATCATTTTCAATAAAGAAGGTACTAAGTTTTTCATACCAAGACTTAGGTGTCTGTTTAAGGCCATACAAAGCTTTTTTTAGTTTATAAACATGATTAGGAAATCTAAAATCCTCAATCTAGGAGGTTGACTAACATATACCTCTTCTTTTATAAAACCATTCAAAAATGCACTTTTTACATCCATTTGATAAAGTTTAAATTTCATCAATGATGAATAAGCAAGTAAAAGTATAATTGCTTCTAACTTGGCTGCCAGAGCATAAGTCTCGTCATAGTCTATACCTTCCTCTTGGCAGTATCCCTTTGCAACTAGCCTTGATTTGTTCTTTGTGATGTTTTCATCTTCATCTAGCTTGTTTCTGAATATCCACTTAGTTCCAATGACTTGATAATCCTCTTTTCTAGGAGTGAGTTCCCAAACGTCATTCCTTTCAAATTGATTTAGGTCTTCTTGCATTGCAATGCATCGTTTAGCATCTTGAAGAGATTCTTTTATATTTTTAGGTTCTATTTGAGACACAAAAGCAACAGTTAGACAAAAAATATTTATGTTGTGTCTAGTAGTTACCTGTTTTGATATATCTCCAATGATGTTGTCCAAGGAGAGACCACGAGGTTGTTGGTAGATTTTAGGATCAACTTCTTGTTTTTGAGTTTCCCTATGATTGTTTTCATTTAAGTATATCTCTTCAAGAGCTTCCCTTAAATAATCCTCACCACCTGCAATAGGTTTGTTTGACTCAAGAGGGTTCACCTCAAGGTCCACAATTTCATCAAAAACAACATGCATTAACTCCTCAATTATCAAAGTCCTTCTATTGAATACTCTATATGCTTTTCTAGTTAATGAATATCCTAAGAAAATTGCTTCATGAGATTTCGCATCAAATTTTCCTAGGTTATCTTTGCCATTATTCAACACAAAGCATTTACATCCAAATATTCTTAAATGTGACACATTTGGTTTTCCTCCTTTAAACAATTCATAAGGAGTTAACTTAAGAATAGGCCTTATAAGCATCCTATTCAGCACATAACCAGCAGTACTAACTGCATCAGCCCAAAAGTATTTAGGTACATTAGACATTTAAAAAAAGTTCTAGTTAGTTCTTCTAAAGACCTATTTTTCCTTTCAACAACCCCATTTTGTTGGGAAGTTCTAGGAGCAGAAAAATTATGAGTTATTCCATACTCATCACAAAACTTTTCAAAAAATTCATTTTGAAATTCACCACCGTGATCACTTCTCAAAGTTTTGATTTTCAAATCATTTTCATTTTGAATGTGTTTGGAAAATGTTTTGAATGCTTTAAAAGCAACACTTTTCAAACTCAAAAAGAATGTCCAAGTAAATCTAGTATAATCATCAACAATCACAAGAGCATAGTAATTTCCACCAAAACTCTTAATTCAAGATGGACCAAACAAATTCATATGCAAAAGTTCTAAAGGTTTTGATGTAGAGATTATGCTTTTGGATGAAAAAAAAGATTTTGTTTGTTTTCCTTTTTGACAGACAAAACATAATTTATCTTTTTCAAATTTTAACTTAGGCAAACCAATCACAAGATCCTTAGAAATCAATTTATTTAGATGTTGCATATGAATGTGTGCAGCTCTTTTATGCCATAGCCAAGGATTTTCCCCTTTTGCAACTAAACATGTTATGCTATGACTAGATGCACTTTCAATGTCAATCAAGTAATTGTTGTTATGCCTAACACCTTGCAAAGCAATATCTGAAGAATTCTTAAAATAAACAGTGCATTTATCACTTTCAAATGTTACCTTAAGACTTTTGTCACATAATTGACTTATGCTCACGAGGTTGTGTTTGAGACCTTCAATATACAACACGTCTTTTATGGTCAAGGTGTTTCCTCCTCCAATGTCTCTAGTTCCAATAATTCTTCCTTTGTTGTTTTCCCCATATGTAACAAATCCTCGCTTCTTCTTCTCAAAAGACATGAACCTCTTTTTGTCACCAGTCATGTGTCTTGAACAACCACTATCAAGATACCACAATGACTTCTTTGACTTAGTAGATCCCTACCAAACAAATTAAGCAAGAGTTTTAGGTCCCCAATCTTAATATGAGTCCCTAGGGTTAGTACAAGCAAACAAGCATCCTTTTACATTCTTCACCCATGCATATTTTCCATTTAGTACTCCAAAATGTTTAATGTTGAATTTGTTTGATGTATGACCATGCTTCATGCAATAAAAGCAACAAACACTAGGCATTTTATTTTCACAAAAGTGCCTTTTTCAACCCAAACTCTACGAGTTCTTTTAGCTTTAGTTTTCTTATGTTGATGCATGTTTTTGTTTTCAAAGTTGCTCCTTTTAAAGCTAGTTTGGTCATGCGAGTTAGACTTGGTTGCTTTAGCAAGTTTTCAAGTATATCAATATCAAACATGTGACTCTTACAGGACACACATTCTATTTTCACAAAAGTGCCTTTTTCAACCCAAACTCTACGAGTTCTTTTAGCTTTAGTTTTCTTATGTTGATGCATGTTTTTGTTTTCAAAGCTGCTCCTTTCAAAGCTAGTTTGGTCATGTGAGTTAGACTTGGTTGCTTTAGCAAGTAAGTTTTCAAGTATATCAATATCAAATATGTGACTCTTATAGGACACACATTCAACAGGATTTTCATTTACTTTAGACTCAGACACTTTAGTTTCAAGATTGAAAATCCTATTTCTTAGAATGACTTCTTCATCTAATGCATTTTCATATTTCAATTTTAATTCATTAAATTCTTTCTTTAATTTCTTGTGAGCAGCATCAAGTTTTTCATATTCATTCATCAATTCAAAGAAAGCTTTTTGCAAATCTAATTCACTAGACTCAAAGCTAGAATCACTTACTTGAGTTCCAGCATCATCAGAGTCAGCCATTAAACAGAGATTTTCTTCCTTGTCTGATTCACTTGAGCTTGAAAAACTAGAATCATTTTCTTCTCATGCTATATAAGCCTTTTTCTTCTTGGGAAATTTCCTTTCTTTCTTTTCTTCGCCTTTCTTATTATTTGGACAATCAGTTTTTACATGTCCTCTTTCTCCACATCCATAACACCTTATGCTTGATTGAGATCCTTGATTTTCCTTCCTTTCTTCTCGATATTTATCCTTTCCTTTTGCTCTCATGAACTTAGCAAACTTCTTTATCATGAGGCTCATATTTTCCTCATCATCAGTGTCATCATCATCATTCCTTCTTGAACTCTTTCCTTTAGAAATTTCATATTTGAAGGCAAGAGTATTTTTCCTTCCTTGATCCTCTTCCGCAGTCAACCTGTTCAATTCAAGTTCGTGCTCACGAAGCTTTCCAAAGAGAATTGTCATCGACATTTGGGTGAGATTTTGTGACACTGAGATTGTTGTCACCTTTGGTTGCCAAGACATGTCCAATGATTTCAAAATTTTTAGATTTAATTCGTCAACATCAAAGGTCTTACCCAACCCTATTAGATGGTTCACTATGTGAGTGAAGCGCTTATGAACATTAGAAATTTATTCTCCAGGCTGCATCCTGAACATCTCATATTCTTGAATGAGTGTGTTCTTCCTTGCGCGTTTTACCTCATCATTACCTTCATGTGTAACGCTGGGGACTTCCCACATCTCCTACGCTGTCTTACACACAAAAATTCTATAGAATTCATCAAGCACCACGGTAGAAGATATAATGTTACTAGCCTTAATTGGGCTCTTCTATTTTCCTCATTAGTTTGGTTAAAACACTTAACTATACTTCATTTAATATTTAATGGAACCCTCTAAAGTAACGTAGAGGAGAACTAAGTGTAGCCCTAACAAGTGAACCAATATAAAATTGTTTGTGCATCATAGTCTTTTTAGTAAACGACTGGCTCTTGATGAAGGAAATTTTTCTAGGTCCTCAAGTTAGTTTTAAGCTTTTGGCTAGCGTTTACATCTTCAACAAGTTACTACTTAAGTATCTTTGGATAAAGTTAAGTTAGTTTTGTAAACGATCTCTATGGAATAACGTTTATAGATGAAGTGTGAATAACTCATAAGTGTTGCGTACATCATGCTTAGTTCTTCATCCGCGAAAAAGATCTAGAAAACATTATTCAACTCTCCTCTCCTTCTGGTGTTTTCTCACAGCTTTAATTGGTATCAAAGCCTATCTCGATTAGCCAGTTCTTAACAGAACTCGAGGCAACAGTTCAAAGGCTTGTGAATCAAAGTCAAAGAATCTCTAAGGAGCATGATGTACAAGAGACAAGACAAAGCAGTAAAAGGAGCAACCCTCTCACCTCCAACTTTTGAAGGTTGGGTTAAGGTTGTCAAAGAAGCAGACTCGACATCTCTAATAGAAGAAACTCTTCTCTCACTCCATCTCAATAAAGAAGATGCTTATAAAAGGATCAATCATCCTTAAAAGGGCTAAAAGTATGAATAAGCACTACTACAACCAGTTGATGAAACAGGTCATTTGTTCAACCAGCAAGCTCTCTAGACATAAGAAGCACACATAAGAGTACATGCTCACAAGTACAGGTAGGGACTTGGGTAAGTCCATGGAGAATATTAATGGAAGAGCATAAAACTCATAGAAAAAGCTTCTAGCACTCATCCAGGAGAGATGGAAAACAATAAGAAAGGTGACTTTAGGAGGAGGTCAAAGAAAGTAAGTGTCAGACTACCAGAACTCCTCACAATAGAATCAAATAGGGAAGTCATCTCAACAAATTAAACAAGAAGATTGGAGCTAAGGAGAAATAGGTACGAGCTTTAATCCTTCTCTCAGTATTGGACAACCTGGGATAACAGTACAATTGCCTAAGAACATATCAAATGTGATAAAAATGAGTTTATGACATGTTAGCAACCAAGTAGTTTCTCTAGATAAGGTTGATAACTGATAACGGTTGAAAAACCTTTATTTTTATACTTAATTTTGATATTAAAAACACCCTCTCTGACTTAGAAACTTGCTTTAACTCATGTTTTTTGCTTTAGTTTTGCGAATAAGGGAGTTGAAGGTGAATTTAATGGTTTTGTGCTAGATTACCTTGAATTTATAGGATAAAAGAATGATTTGAAAAAAGAGTTAAAGTACAGAATGGTTGGAATGCAGAAAAGTCAACCAGAGTGCGGAAAAGTCAACCAAAATGCAAAAACGTCAACCAGTCAATCAGAGTGTAGAAAAGTCAACTAGAGTGCAGAAAAGTCAACCAGAGTGCAGAAAAATTTGTGTTGAGCGCCAAAGTTGCGCTGAGCGCCAGTTTTGAGTGTCGCAGCTACCGCTGCGCCATTTTGCGCTGAGCGTCGACGACGTGGGCTTGGACCTGTTTTCTGTTACTTTTATGGGCTTGGACCTGTTTTCTGTTATTTTTATGTTTTATTTAAGGACTTGCACGTCCTAGGGATTGTATCTTTTGATGGCTTAAGCACAGAAACACACTTTACACCCCTTGTGGGTAGATTTGGAGATGGTGATGGCTCTAAATCAAACCAATTTAAACGCAATAAATTCCAAATCAAACCAATTTGTATAATTTAATTTGAATTTTTGTTGCAATTTATTATACAATTTTATATTGATAAATGTAAATTACTAGAAACGCCAATTTAACAATAGTTCTAATCACTTTTGTCAATGTTCAATGTTAAAAAAATTTGTCATATTAGTTTATTTTGACAACAATTTTATTCAAAAATTGTCTCATGAGAATTTTATTTGAAAATTGATGTCATATATGCCGACATTTTTTTTAACAAAATTGTTATATGTCATTATAAGTTATAGAGATTTATATGTTGCTAATGACTAATGCAAATTAGACAACGTTGTGTTAAAATAATTTTCATATAAATATTTTGTTTATTTATATATTACTGAAATACTTATTTCTTTAATGTTATTTTTCTTAGTTAAACAATGTGCATATATTCAAGAACTAGTCACGTATAAAAACATATATCAATTAGTAAAAAATATAATCAAATCAATTATACCAAAAGAAGATCTAAGCAACTACTTCAAATAAAGAAATTTTTAAAAATAAAAACCATAGGAGAAAACTAAAATTAAAAAACAAAGTTTAGAAACTATTCTTATATAATTTATCCTAATTGTGTTATAGAAAGTGATAAAATAAGTTTCATGTTGAGCTAACATAATCAACAAATAATAATTTGAAATTAGATAATATAATTAATTAATTTCAACCTTTTTAAATAATGGTTCCTTCAATAATTGAATTTATTGTATTACATAGTAAATATATTTATGCTCTCCAATATATATTGTATTGTGACCGAACGATCATTCACTCAGCACCATTCTGTCACCATTATGATCAACCAGGGCAAACGGTTCTATTAATGTTGGGTCATAATTGGGTCAACGCTTATTTTATTATTGGGCCAAAAGTCCAGTAGACAGTTAAAATAACCAAACATATTTGATTAGAGATATTGATAAAGTCGTTGATGAATAACTAACCGAATCTCCAGGTAAAACCCTTTCGTCAACCAAAAGGCTGAAGATAAAGACCAAGAGGTAAATCGCTCTCGTCAACAAGGAAATTTTGATGGCGATGAACGAATCACAGGTATTCAGCTTCTCCAATTTTCGGCCAGTCGGCCTCACAGGTGCTCGGCCAGTTAACCTCACAGGTATTCGACCATTCGGTCTCAGGTATTTGGCCATTCGGCCCCTTCTGCTCAGCATTCTACGACCTCAGTTGAAGAAAACCGTTCGGTCATTTACAAGCAACGACTAAAAGCAACCTCCCTAAAACTCACAAGTCCTATAGTTAATCATGACTAAAGTCGAACGCTTAACTAGGACTTAGGGGGCATATGTATTGTACCTAGTAGAGACCAAACGATCATCCACTCAGCACTGTTCGGTCACCACTATGACCAATCAAGGCAAACGGCTCTATTAATGCTGGGCCATAATTAGGCCAGCGCTTATTTTATTATTGGGCCAAAAGTCCAGTAGACGGTTAAAATAACCAAAGATATTTGATTAGAGATATTGATAAAGCCGTTGATGAATAACTAACCGAATCTTCAAGTAAGTTTGTTATTATTTGGTCTATGAAACACTTTTAAATACAATGACAGGGCCAAAAGCCAGGTAGGTTCAACTGAGACTCCACTACGTTCTACTTACGTCCGATTAGGACTTAAATACTAAACCGTGTTAAACAGTTCATTAAACCGCTCCTAACATGAGCGACGAAGTGCCTTTTGCAGATACCTCCCCCTCCTGGTCAAGAAGACAACGGTGCGATCCAGACTGACAACGAGCGGTTCAAACGATCCAAACTTTCAGAAACAAGAAAGACACGTCTGAAAGGTTAGTCTCTCGGTCCTACACAAATCCCTACTGAAACACATAGTAAATATATTTATGCTCTCAAATATATATTTATGAGCTGAATACAAAACCTTATTTATAAATATATTTTTAATTTTTAATTTTTACATCAAGTTAGAATTCGTTTTAATTGTAAATTTTAATATAATTTATTTCTAAAGAAAATTAATATAATCATTTTAATTTAATTATGTTAAATTTTGTTGATTTGTTAAACGCTTTCTAAATAAATGTCAAATAGTATAAATAATTTAAATATATAAAACAATTTAAAAAGAAAACTAATCTAATTGACTATATTAATTATTTTAAAATTTAAAGACTATTAAAATTTTAAAGAGAGAAAAATTTTAATTTTATATTAAAATTCAGAAATTAAAAACATATTTAACTAACTAAAATATTTAATTTAAAGATAAAAACAATCAAATAGTATATAGTTGATAAAACTAATAATTTTGAGATATAACTTTACATTTAATATTCCCTTTAAAATGTTATATATCTAAACTATATTTTAATAAAACATGGTTATTAGATTATTAACGTTGGAGCATAAATTGTAATTAATGTTAATTATCACTCAACTATTTCTTTAAAATAAATGGGACTTATTCTGCAATGAGCATAATCATATAACAGTTGATTAGTGGATATCTGCAAGATTACTTACCTAGTAACAAATACTTTATCTACATGATTTAACCTTCGAAAACTACACGATGTTTCGAAATTTGTATTTAAGACTTTAGAAACTACTTGCATTATTTAAATATCCAACTTTGTACGATCACAAATGAAATTTAATTCTTTTATTCAACTTGTTCAAGAAATCATCTGTTGCTTAATCATTTCCTCTTTCTCAAATGTGAACCCATTGATCAACCTAACAACATAATTTACCCACTCGAGCCACCGAATATAGATAGAAAATTAAGGAGAGATTAAAAATAAAAATGTCAAATAATTATAGATAAAAACT